TCCCGTGAACTGGCTCATAACAACTGCTAATCAGATGAGCCACTAGGTAAGATTCTTTGGAGCAATAGATACAGGTCATGTTACTTGTGAAGGTAAAGACCCCAGCCAAAAACTTCCATAACACGGAGGAAATGGAGAGCAGAGGAAGGAGTTGGCATCCAGAAACTTGCCTATCTGTCCGAGAAATAAATTAAGAACTAGAAACAAAAACCAGATATAACTTCAGTTATACTATAGTTTGTCCCAGCAATAGCCCTGCCTCACTCCCACAACCTTTCTCTGCAGCTAAGCAGACTCTTAGATACTCAGACTTTGCAATTAAAGAACATTTGAAAACACGGCTTCACATTTTCACTACTGGCCTTAAACAGCCTTTGGCAACCCAGAAGAGTTAACATTCCCCTTTCGGCACCTACCTAACACCAGAGGAGGCTGGGTGGGAGAAAGAGGTGTGCGGTGCAGCAAACTTCCCTTCGTTTTATTCCCTTTTAGTCGCTTGGTAGGAAGGGAACAGTCTAAAATAGTAACATGAATTGACAGGTGGAAGTCGCCATGCTCAAGTTACAGATCCAAGTTTGGATACCATTAAGTTTGCTTTTTTTTTTTTTTTAAACAGATTAAGTTGTCAAGAAACTCCTTTGAAAGACATGAAAAAATGTCAAACCAGGTTTAAGTCAGAAAAAGGTAGAAACTGAATTATTCAAAGTAGTTACATTTTTACTTACATAAATAAAAACCTTAATCAATACACATCCACACATTCATACTCAAGCCCAGCTTGGCAGACTGCTAACAGCGTGCCATCTGGGAAGCTGATTCCTAAGAAATAACATTACAGTACTGCCACAAAATCAAGCACCCTTTTGGAAGCTTTAGAGAGCAGTTAAATCCTTAAAATACTATTTTGAGCCTCCTTTATGTTCACGAGGGGAAATATGTTAACACTAATTTTGTTTCCAACTACTATTCCTTTGACAACTAGCACGTGTAAAAAAAAAAAAAAAAAAGATTTTTCATTTCTGTATTCTCCATTTGATAAATCTTTTTAATAAACTCAGTCAATATTAACAATTTAAAGTTACATTTTAAACCTAATATTAATAATACTCTAAATAATGAAAGAGTAAGTATGTACTAGAAAATAATTTTTCTTTGCATCACTGAAATATTGTGGTCAAAGGCACTGCCATCCGGTAATTGTATTATGAACAGAATGTATCTAAGGAAGTGCTAAAAACTGGATTGGGTTGATAATTAGACAGAAAAAAACACAAAACATGTTGAAAATCTGTTCAAATTCTCAGCTTAAAACTTTCAATAAATAATTGCTTAGAGCAATGGTTTAAATACAGGACTCAGTTTATGAGTCAAATTGCAAAATCTTTAATGTTCAACCCTACCTTTCTGCCAACTTCCTTCCTCCCATACAGGACCTCTGGGCTACTCTGCTGAATTGCTTTCTACGAGCGATTGCTGTGAGCCTCTTAATGACCAGCAGCACTACAGGGACCATGACATTTGCTACAGGAGCTCCCCAGTGTGCTGTGCATGGCACTGTGGTCACTGCGTTTGCCCTCACGCAGGCCTTCTATAGAAAGTGTGCAGGCACAGCTCTGTGGGCGTCACATCGCCTCTTCTTCGTGGACTGTGTTTGTTTCTGAGTTCAGTTCTGAATATATAACATAGTTAATACTAAAGATGCAGTTATTCATTAGTACAGAAGGTAAATTTCATGGCCTCAAAAAACACCTGGATGTAAACAATCTCAGTACACCACTACGAAAAAGTTTAACTTCAATCTACCATTCATGGAGATTAAGTCACAAATTTGCTCATTAGCTTTTTGGGAAGAAAAATAGTAAAGACGGATCCTACCCATTAAAGTCAGGAGTGTCAAAATTAAAACTACCAACTGACTTTTGAATACACGCATTCCTAAAATAAATGCAATAATTCAAACATACCTGGAAAAATTTAAACTACATCTTGCAAGACATAAAATAATTCAGTTAGAAAACTAGATCCCCTATTAATACATATGTTTAAAGGAAATTATATCACATATTAATATGTATAATTATAGAAATATGAAGAGTATTCTAGTTCTGTTTGGTGAAAAGTTATTATTGCAAATTAAATTATAAATCTCAAATTGCTGGAAAATAAGAGTTTGTGGTTAGGGTCTGGATTATCAACATCATTCAATAGAAAAGACTCTTTATACTGACTGTTCCTGCCACTCGTTCCCACCACCCACAACTCTCCTAGGCTCCATATGCCACTTACGTTTTTAACACTCCTGTCCATTAACAAACAATGCCTCACGTCTGCCCACGGGGAGGGCATAAACTGTCCTTTCCTGTTTGCTCTCAGTATGTCCTGCAAACACGCATCTTAGACTGTACTTGCAGCAAGACCAACAACAGGTCTATGAACTGATAATGCCGTCTTAGACATTGAGCTTTTATACAGCATTTAAAATAATCAAATATCTTGCCACATTTTTGCTAATTTTAATGTATACAGATGAGCAAAGTAATGCAAAGTACTACATCACTGCACATGAATTATAGCGGGCCTTCCTTTTTAGATGGACAAACATACTAACACAGAAATATGTTAGTAAGTAAAAAAAGTTACATTTTAGCAGAATGTAAAAGTCATCTGTCAGTCAGTACCCTTCCTGGCCACATGATTATCTTGCTGGAAGACTAGAAATAAGTAAGGAATTCTAAGCCTAAATCAGGGTTTCTCAACCTTAGCGCTACTGATATTTGGGATAAGAAATTCTGTTACGGGGACTGCGCTGTTCATGAAAGAGCATTTAGCAGCATTCCTGACACACGAAATGCAGTAGCTCCCCGGCCCCAGCTACAGCAACCAAAAGCATCTCCAGGCCTTGCCAAATATCCCATGGGGGACAAAGCTGCCCCCAGCTGAGAGCCACCAGTCTAACTAACCAACAACAAGTCCTTTAATCTACAATAAGGAGAGGACGGGATTTGACCAACAGGAGTCTCCACGTTATATAAGAACAGAAACTAAAAAGAAATACATTACTACTTAGCAAGCGATCCTTTGCTTTCCTGTAAACCTGCTTCCTTTTTGTAAGAATGCTATCTCAGGGCATAAGAACTGTGGCCAACATTTTTAAATAAGCCATTTGCCAGTTTCTTGGTGTCTCCTAACCCCTTGATTCCATCACAGCAGATGCAGGATGCCCCCCCCCCCTCCAGTCCAACAGGATGGAATGGGCAGGGGAAACGCTCTCATTTGGGGGAGCTCGCCAGCACCCCTCAGGCACTCCTTACCTTTACGGCCTTGTGGTTTCAACAGAAACAAGTTGTTACGCATACTTCCTATTACAGCTGTGACTGTGACCTCCAGGTTTCAGTATGTCAGTAACTTCACTGATACCTGGGCCCAGATAGGATTTTTCCTCAACACTTTCGACCCAACATTCCACAAGGCTCCAGGGCAAGCTTCTCTCAGCGCACCCTCGGAACTAGGAGCCAGCAAACATGTTTTGCCTAGTCCCCAGCCTACTCAAACACGGGCTATCGAGTTTCAAAACAGTATGATTTTAAAGGGAAAAGACATCTGACAGCGACAACTTAAGATAACTTTCCAAGTCAAAAATTTCTTTGCCCATCAGATAGGTCTTATGAGAGAATGAGCATTAGGAAAAATATAACAAGCTTTTCCATCATTATTTTTCAAGGAAATTAAACATGACCCCACGTACTGCAGAAGTAAACATGCCATTCCGACACTGAAACTCAGGATCGATCAACTATTTCAATGAATCAGAATTAATCAGAAATGCAGGCAGACGCATCCCTGCCGTGCACCTATCATTCCTCTGTGGCTTAGAAATGCTCATGCAACAGAACTGAAAGCATATAGGTTCAAAACGGCTTGTTCATTTAAAAATATGTATTATTAGGCTTTGAAAAGATTAATCCTATGTGGGATTTTAGGTTATACTGCTAACAGACAAGGTGTAATAGAAAAGATGTATTTACAGGGTTATTTTTCTTTAGAAAAAATAGTGTCCACATTTAAGGTCTTACAATGAATTTTTTACAAACTACTGAAGCTATTACAACAGGGATATTACCATATAAACTGAATCTTTGTTTGAAATCACAGAAACTAACTTTTCTCATTTCTATTAATTCTATAGATGAACACTTTATTTTATTCCTTGGAAAAATGTTTATTAGGTTTAAGAGCCATGATATAAACAGGTAGTCATTATTACAAAATTAAATCATTTTCCTGTCACCTTTATCTGGTAACACGAGTTTATTCTGATTCGCTGAAAGCAAATTCAATTTATAGGGAAAGAAATCTCCCAGGAGTTCAAAATTAGATTTCCTGAAATCATAGTCACACATGAACACCATTTTCCATCTAAAACTCAACAGCATCACCTGCGCTTGTTTCATCGCCCCCTCACTTTCACTTTCTCATCTATATCATTAAAATAGTGAAAAACAGTTGATTTTTTAAAAACCAGCCACAATCAACAAGGTCATTAGCTTCACTTATTGGTCCTAGACACCTCCGCTTTATCCCTGGCCCACTCTCATTTTTGTGTTAGCAATTATGTCTCAATTCCAAACATATAAAAACTATCTTTAAGTAATTATTTTTACTCTGTAAGTTCTTATATAACTTTTGAATTAGCTTTATAAGTATAATGAGTGTCGTCACCATTAGCAACCAAACACTACCCTGTTGGACGAGCATTAAAATATAAACTTCCATTTCAGTTAGTAGAGAGATTTAAAATAAAACCAGGACATGTTATCGATTACAGACAGCTCCACAGTCGCAGTCTCTAAGCCATTTTTTTAAATAGTCTGTTTTGGAAAGAGAACAGGAAGGCAAGAGAGCGAAATGATTTTTCAGTAATCATGAACTCTCCGGAATTCTTTTCACTTAAGCTACAAGCCCTCAGTTTAAAAAATATAGAACAAGCCAGTGAAACTTACTTGACAGTGACTCGATTTGATAAATCCTGTAGATCCCCGGGATGGAAAAGCTGGGCTTCTTTCAATCCAATCTGCTCACAAGCTTTCAAAAAAACATTTATATTATCCTGTGAAAAGAAGTAGAAAGTGATTGCTTAGCCGAGCTCTGTCTCAGACAAAGGTTACAAAATTTGGATGATATAACTTCCAAGCTTCAAAGTCCAATTACAGCCAGCAAAAAGAAGGCAGCAAGACCGATGAATACATGTGTTTTAAAAAAAATAATACATAGGCATATACAGCCTTCAGAGCATAAACCGTGGTGCTATCTCCTGCCCCGGCATACGCCGTTTCTGTGATCTTTGTGACTGGCACGTTAAACATTACCTGTTATAGGACAAGTGCCTAGCCACTGAGCAGTAATCTACACTTTGATGTCAGCTCTGCTCTGCAAACAAACGCCCTCTTCCCAGCTTTGCACGACAAGCCTCACCTCTCCTCTTTAAAAATAACTCCAGCTACTGACATTCACCCACCCAGAAACTGTTGGCAGGGAGGAAATAAGAGGAGGAACATTCTGTTTCTATGATTACAAATTACAGAAAGACTGTGGAATACCACACCTGGAATCTGGGTTCGGTTGCTGAGCCGGCTCTTGACGGACAGGGAAACCATACTATAGGACCCGGGAGAAGCCTGGTGTTCATTGGCTAAATCGCATAGTTTAGGTGTGGTACATTACTCAACGCCCTGCAACCTGCCTCGGGAACTGCCTCCAGAAAATAAAAATCTAGGTTGTCCTCATATCTAATTTCAAAACCAAAACCACCCATTCACAAACCAATGCTTTTCATTTACGTGAGCTGCGACACAGACACTGCCTACAATATACTCTGTGTTACAGTCAGCTGCATTTCAGAGACACACAGTTGGTGACCAGAATTAGCTTGAGCTTCCTTCCACCTTTACTCGTGTTAAGAAAACCTGTAACAGGGTTGAGCTTGTGATGATCCTACTCTCTACCTTCGCTTTGTTAGGGTTCTCGGGCAAGAGAACAGGCTCCTAGGTCATCAACACACATTTGTCCACTTACACGTGCTGGCAACACCGCATGTGTGGTGTGAGCCTCAGAGCCTTCCCGGAACCGCGCCTCCTTCCCTGACAGCTGGCCGAGACAAGCAGGGACCAGAAGCCAACCCACCACTTGAAGAGAGGCCGCTGCTGCTTTCCCATGTCGAGGAGCGCATCCTCACAGGGAGAAAAGGCACGGTGGTATGGCAAAGTGGGAGAAAATGTTAGAAAGAAATAGATGAAGGGGATACATTTAATAGTTTGGATTCTTCAAGAGTGAAAGGATTTAGGGAAAGGACAAGAAAATGTCTAGCAAAAGAAAAGCGATACTGATCGCTAGGAAACTCAGGGACATAGGGAAAAAAGTTTTGTAGAGGTGGGAGGTTATTCTAGTGTACTATGAGTAAAAGGCAGTGTGAACTACTTAGCTGAAACCCATGATTCATTTTAAATAAGAGGTCAAAGATTAAAGGAACTTATAAGTCAAAACTTGAACAGTTTAATGAAAGGCGTTTTATCTGACCCTATGTGGAAAAAAAGGGAAATAATGTTTTGGCAAAATTCCAGGGGGAGCAAAAGTGGTCATTTTGTTGGTAAGCTCGCATAACTTCTAGAAACTCTGTTATTTGTAATCACCAAAAGATTGAAATGAATGGTTCTATAGCTGGCCCTCAGACAAGCAGATGAGAGTAAATGGCTTGTTTTACCCGTACCCCAAATCCTATAGGATGCAAATCTCATACCCAACAGGGACAAATAATCCACAAGAAGTCTTCCCACAAATTCAACTTAGTTCTGAAAGTTTAAAATGTTATAAAACATTAAAACAAAGTAAAACTAAAAGTAAACCTATTGAACTGACAGCCAAAATAATTCTTCACATATTTTATAAAAACATGATAACAGCATTCATCCAGTTGACACATATGTACAGGCCGATAAGGACAGGGAAAACCATACATGCCTCAAAACCCACCCAAAGTACTTAGCAAGGAACCACTTAAAATATAAAGTGACTAACCTTCATTGGAGACAAAAAAAAAAAAAAATACAATTAATGGGAATAAATTCTAATTTTAAATAAAGCCTTTATATGAAAAAACAGAATCTTTAAAATAGCTTAATGATGCTCAAATGTAAAACAGACAAACCTCATAAACAAAGTCACCCCTGGCCTAGGTAGCAGGAACAGGTCGGACTAGAATCAGAATTGTAACCTAAATCATGCTTACTGGACATGAGCCCATTGGTAATTTATTTTATGCGATTTCAGAGAGTTGCCTAAGGGGCGAAACAAAATTATAAAATTTTCACATGTAGTGAAACATCAAGAAACCACACCCAGCTCAACATATTAAAAGGGAAGCATTTAGTCCTCAATTAATGGAATCTTTTCACTTGAAACTCGAAAAGGTAAATAAAAGTAAAAACAAAGGACAAATCTGAAACACATCTTATCTCATTGGACAGGTAGCCAGGACTCCAAGTCAGCTCTGCCAGTAACTAACTATGTGGCTTTGGAAATATTAACCTTCTGGCCCCATTTTCCTCATCTGTGATTAGTTTGTGGACCTGTAAGCCATTACCAAGGGCACATACTTGTGTCTGCAAGGGCAGGGAAGCCCAGCCCCTCCTAGCCCAACCCTTCACACAAATATTTCATAGCCCAGCTTACATAAAATACTTCATGTCAAAAGCCCGCTCTGAACATCTGTAATCCCTACACCTTGAGGACCAAAAGTGGCTTCTCAAAAATAACCCCCCAAAAAGGTGATCCCCTGAAGCTCTGAAATAGCTCCTTTTAGATTTAAGTTTTTTTATGACTATGAATAAAAATAAACACAATATAAACAGAAAAAGCAGGATGGCTGAAGATTTTCATATTCTCTCAAATCCCCTCTCCACCCTTTGGCCTTGAGTCAATTTTGAAGGCAGTCATTAACAGGTGTGGGGTGGAGGGAGTAAGGGTAAATTAGAGAGAGATTAATGAGTCAGGAACAGTACTTACTATAACAACTGAGGCAAGATGAAGAAGCCACAAAAATTTACAAAGATTCCCAGAGTTGTATTAGCCTGCTGTAGTACCTCTACAGATGATCTACTGCTGCATAGCAAATTGTCCTCAGCAGCTTAGAGCAACAAACATTTATAATTTCACATAGTTTTTGAAGGTCAGGAATTTGGGAGTGGCCTAAACTTGATGGTTGTGGCTTAAGGATCTCTTGGGTTTTAGGTGAGATGTCAGGCGGGGCTGCAGACACTTGAAGGCTTTCTGGAGGCTTGAAGAAACTGCTTCTAAGGCGGCTTACTCAGATGACTGGCAAATCACAGCTGATTGTTGACAGGAAGCCTCAGTTCTTTATGAAATGGACATCTCCATAGGGCACTTGATAGAGCCAATGATCCAAGAGAAAGCAAAGATGGAAGCTACAATGTTTCATAACCTAGCTTCATATCACAGCCATCATTTCCTCGTGTCCTGCTGGTTACATAGATCATCCCTATTCAATGTTGGGAGGACTATACAAGAACATAAATAGCAGATGAGAATTATTGGGGGACCATCTTGGGTACTGGGGACCACAGTTCACTTCCTGGCCCCAATGACTCACATCCCTCCCACATGCAAAGTACACTAACCCTTCCCAAGGCGAGGAAAATTCAATCTGGAATCTCATCATCTAAGTCAGATCCAGTTGTGCATAAGGTGCCTCGGGTATAGTTCCTTAAGTATAGCCCCTGAGCACAGTTCCTCTCCACTTGGATGCCAGTGAACTAGAAAGACAAGATACCTGCCCCACCCACCCAACATATAATAGGAGGACAGGTGTAGGGTGACCACTGGAGACACTCCAGTGTGGAGAAATGAATGCCACAGAAATTCTGGAACCCTACAAAGCATGTATTAGTGGGCCATTCATTAGGATTCCAGGCCAGTAAATACTTCTTCATGCTTCTTTGCTTTACTCTCTGAACCTTGGTTCATCTTAAATATCATTTTTCCATTTCTTTCCAAAGTAGCCTCTGTTTGCAGCAGTGTTAGCTTTCTCAGTCTGATTCCTCCCCATTAAAATTTGGGGAACTAAAGGTCTCTTAGTTTTGTAATCCTCTGTCCCTTTCAGTCTAAGTTTACAGTGTTTCTGCAAATACAATTCTCTCAAAAATACTCTAAGTCTTCTGTGAATCTTATTGGACTTCATTCCATTAGACCAAAAAAAAAAAAGCCACATCCACAAATCCCTTCAAAATAAGCTCTTCTCTTCTCTATCTTGGTCTGCAGAAATGACTGAGGAACACCACCCTTAAGCTTCTTAGAAGCCCTATTGCTGGACTAGACAAATTCCCAAGGCTCCACTTTGGATCTTTCTAAGATCTGAAAAGAACCACACCCTCAGCTTCATCTTTAGACCTTGTTTGCCTGCCAGTGCTCCCAATCTGATCTTTGCCAGAAGGCCATTTCTTAATTCTAGTATCACCTGACCAAGGAGGCTGATAATTTTCAAAACAAGCAATTCCTGTGCCCCACATGTTTATCATTCTAACCTTCGCTTCCCGTACTTTTCTGTAATCAGCAGGAGGAAGCCAGGCAGCACTCTGACATTCCACCTGGAAATCTTTTCAGATCACCTAGTTTATAAGGCACAATTTATAAGTCAAAGGGACTAAATATCAGGTGGGAATCATTGAGACCACTTTAGAAGATGCCTACAATATTTATACAATAAAGAATGCCAAACAGTCATTAATTTGGGGTAGAAAAATAGACTGCTTTAGAGATGTTGAGTTTTGGGTATCCACATTGAGATGTCCAGCTAATAACAAATTGGGTTTAGAGCCCATGAAAAGTATCTGATCTTAAAATATGCTTTGGGAAATAAAAAAATCAGTAGTTGAAATTAAGGATGTGGATAAGCCCTCTAAGGAAAAAGCAAAGCTAGAGAAGAGGCAGTTAAAAAAAAAAGAAGAGTTAAGGGAAAAACAAAAACAAAAAAACCTAGCTACCAGAGAAATCAGAGGGAAAGTAGAAGTGAATAACGTCATGGAAAACCAGGGAAAA